GTTAGGTGTGGATTGGTTAGTTCTTACACACAGATGGGGAAGGTTAACTCAGCTGGTTTAGCTGCCTCCTCTCTTACCTCCATTGCTCTACCAAACCATGTGTATCCTGAAGCTTCTCTCTTCTTAATTGCCATACAATTTTTTTGATCATAGTCAGTGTGGCTAAAGTACAAAATATGTATTTGAGGGGCTGGCATTGTGGTGCAGCTGGTTAAATGACTCTTTGCGATACTGGCATCCCATATCTTAGTGTCAATTCAAGCCCCAGCTCCTCTACTTCTGATCCAACTTCCTGCTAAGGAACCAGAAAATGGCCCAAGTTCTTGGGCCCCTGCCACCCATGTGGGAGACTAGAATAGAGTTCCTTGCTCCAAGCTTCTTCCAGCATTGGGGAGTGAACCAGCAGACAGGTTGTGTGTGTGTGTGTGGGTGTGTGTGTGCACACACACACATGCATCTCCCTCTCTCTCTGTTGATCTGCATTTCATATATATACATACATATATATATATATATATATATATGTAAAACCAGGTACAGTGGCAATGTCTTAAAAAGGTGGGGGAGGGTTGAAGTCAGCCGGAGGTGAAAGAAAGGCCTATTGGGTGACTTTTGATGAACGCTTAGGTCCGGTCATAAGGGGCTTTGTATCCTGATCCAAGTAGCTGGACTCTTCTCCACAAGCAGAGGGTGACTGTTGAGTAGTGGTGTGGTTAGAGTCATGTGGCAGATAGAAAGGAGGGAGGAAGGAAGATGAAACAAGGAGACCAGATTAGGAGGTGACCTCAAATCCAGATGCAAATCAGAGCCCATACACTGATGAAATAGCTTCGATGTTAGGAGGCTGAGAGGATTTGATGGAGCTTCAGCAGGCATTTCTGGGCTCAACTAAATACAATGGAACAAGAGCCAGCCCAGCCAATTCCCAGGATTCTGACCTTAGTGTGAACCGGGAGGATTCAATCAACATAAGGAATCTAGAAACAGTGGTTTTTGTGGGGAAGACCAACAACTCCTGTTTCAAATCTGCTGCTTTTCAGAGGTGGATAGGACCGGAAGGCAGATAGATAATGATCTGAAGTTTAATTGAGATCAACACAAATGAAAGGCAAAGAAAGTAACTGAGAGATTTAACTGAGAGGTTGAGAAGAGGCTGGAGGAGGCATTCTTCAATCAGCTCAAAAAATATTTGACAAAGCTTTGGTTGGGCATCACGGGACATGCAAAAAAAAAAAAATCCTACATGGCCTTCCAACTTTAGGGACCTACTTTGTCCTAACTGCAGCCATAGATTCAGATTTAGCATCTATGAGAAGTGTTTGCAAGAATTATTGGTGAAGTCAAGTATACATTTTTTAAAAATTCTGCTTATTTATTAGTGAGCAGAAAAACACAAAGAGACAGTCAGAGCTCTGATCTACTGGTTCACTACCGAAATGACTGCAAAGGCCAGGGCTGTGCCAGGCTGAAGCCAGAAACTGAGAACCCAATCCAGGTCTCTCACATGGGTGGCATGAATCCAATTACTTGAGCTATCTCTCAGGGTCTGCATTGGCAGGAAGCTGGACTAGGGAGCAGAGCTAGGTATTGAACCCAGGCATTCCCATGTGGAATGTTGGGTGTCTGAAGTGCTAGGCCAAACACCTGCTCTGGTATAAATTTTTTCTGTACCTTTATGTCTGTTTGCCTGGCTTTCTCTAAGGTTTGACATACAAATAAATATTTCCTTTTCTCTTTTTTATCTTGAGATCAATCACAAGGTGAACATCCACTTCTAGGGTATGATAAACAATTGATCTACCTGTTCTCTATTTTCTATCCTTCTTCCTGCTTAAACACACATGCTTGGTTATAGCACTCCAGAAAAATATATAAGGTGCCTTTTTATGGAGATCCCCAATTTGGGGATTTAAAGAGAAAATGGAGAAAAGTTAATACAGCTTACTTACTTTTTAGAATGAAAATCCCTTTTGAAAACTATTTTCCTTATATTGGCTATTTTTACTACACACACACACACACAGAGTCTGTCAATTGACTGCTAATACTTATGAAGGAAGTAGTAAATATTTAAGAAAATACTTTAAATATTTAAGCAAATGTTTAAAATATTTAAGAAACATTCTGTGAATATGTATAAACTAGAGGACTGTAATAACTTCTTTTGAAATAAAAAAATTTAAAAACTTTATTATGCTTGCCAAAAATGCCGATAGACATTTCAGATCATAAAGAAAGAGTTGATGAACAGTGATTAAAAGCAAATAATGGTGTTCTATTTCTCCAGGAATTTACACATTTTGCCAATACATACGTAATCTCTTAGAAAATTCCTATCTAAAGTACGAGGTTTCTTACTGGGAAAAAGGTCTTCAGATACTAGTGGATTCATAGAGAAAATTTCATGTCTTTTTTTTCCCAAACATTTTATGCTCTAATCCTCTTTATTCGTATTGTAGCCAGTGGAATATAGGGAACACATTCAGTTCTTCTTTCCCCAGAAACTGATGTGTTTACTCACTTATGGACTCAGAGGAGCTTTTCAAATTAACTTCAATTTTTACAGCTCTCTATTCAGATCCCATGTGTGAATTTACTGTGGAGCCTTATGCAAGATGGATCTAACTTCAGCAGGGCACTAGTGAGATGCTTTGCTTTGGTGAATGTGGAAAACGTTCGGTGATGTGGTTCAGACCTTAGTTTTAGCACTTAGGCCAAACTTCTCAGAATGAGCCAAGAAATGAATAAGTATAAAGTAGGCACTTCAATGCAAAATATACTTTAAAAAATTCGCTAAAAATTTGAGAACTTTTTCAATTAAGGATATATGACTTCAGATTGTCTCCCTGGGACAAATTAGCTCCCTTTTGTAAGGGTTTTATCTTTGAAAGTATCCATTCAATCAGTGCTCAAGGTAGAAGTCTAAATAAAATTACAAACCTAAAACCTTTTGGGCAACGGTTCCAATTAATAAAACTAATAATTTAGTGAAATGTCATGAGTTGGAATTGTGAGAATTTGTCTGACTCTGAAGAAGACCTACTGAGGGCAGCCCTAATAAGATTCATTCTGAGTCAGGTCAATCAATTTTCTGGACTTAGAAGCAGCAATGGAAGACTTCCCTCCCTCCTAAACCTGGAGAGTTGGGTGTTTAGCCCTGGTACGACCCAAGGGCTATCTGGGTTAACAGAGGTATATAATTAAAGTGCACCAGCTACAGCAGCAGTTTTATTTGGCTCTGCCCTACTGTAAAATAATTTTTCTGCATTTTGTACCTTTTTTATTTTTATTTATTTATTTTTGGTCTTGCTTTCCCTGGACTTCATCCTGCCGTCTTCTTTAGGGTTATTACTTCCTTTCCTAGCAGATATGGAGGAGAGTTTCCCTCAGTATTCAAACTAGACTTTTTTCTGTTCCTGTCACCATTTTGAAGCTACATTTTCCCTCACATGGTAAGAAACCCTGTAAATAATTGAGGTGATGTATCAAGAGACCCATTCTTGATCTTGAAAAATTGCACAACTCAGTAAGTCAATTAAAAACCACAAATTTCAGGACCTTTTGCTCAGTGAAGGTTTATTGTAATAGAAGGCGTCTAATACAATACATTTGGGGGGTCAAAATTTTTAAAAGTTCTAAAAATGCAGTTAAAGCATTGACAGTAAACTTGAGTATGATTTACACAATATCGAAGGATATTAGTTCTTTGAAATGGAAAGGTATTTTTTTTTTCTTTTCAACATGTCTAAAACATCAGGATTTTTTGTAGGAACCTTAGAAACAACATCCACTGTGGGACAGTTTTGAATGAGTCTCATTCTTTGGTTGTGCTAATACAAGGAAAGCCTACAAATAAGACCAGAGAAGTCTGGACAGTTTCCTTTGTTAAACCAAGTATCTGAATAATTAGAACAACCTAGATAAGACTCAAAATGATTTTATCTGGTTGCTTGCTTAGGACACAGCCAACATTTTAATAGAATGTAGAATCTTACACAACTGTGTATAATTTTTTTATTGTTGTTTAACATACAATGACTCTTGTTTCTTTAGAGACATCAAATGCTGGTTGAAAGGAAAATGCCAAGTCTCTGAAATATAGTTAACTATAGTACTTTTCTTTTAGAAGATTTTCATGCCCCAAATATATATTAACTAAGGAGTGATATCTATCTGTAAAAATTATAAAATGTTTATCCATTTGCTTGAGACTCAGGGTCCACCAGTACAAGAATTAAACTCTATCCAAAGGTATAGGTGGGGTTCGGCAGTCCAGAGGCACAATTCCAACCAACAGGGAACATGTGACCTGTTCTCTACTGAAATTAAACTGCCAAATAAAAAGGAGGAATTGTGCCCTTTTTAATAACAAAGAATGCAATCAGATTTGGAATTCCAGCAGTGTTCTGGTGTTTTCCTCATGATGTGTGACAAGAATGAACAAAAATAAAACAGACCTCATCTAAAAAAGCAATCTTGACATTGTAGGGTTCAACACCAAATATATCAAATTCTAAAAATACAGAAGACCAGTCACCTGGCAGAGCTGAGGGGATAACATGTTGTGGATGGACCAGATTTTTAAACCTTTCAATTGACTCTAATCCAGCATTACTTCTTGTTCATTTCTGTTGAGACATTGCCACTTCAACAACTCGGGACTACGGTATCTCATATACGTATAAATATTTGATTTTGACCTCATAAAAAGTCCCCTGGGTCTATAACACTTTTATTCTTGTATAATCTGAAACAAATCCTTTCCTTTAAAAATCAAACAGACCATGTTACACACACAGCTGACTATTTACAAAGCACCCAATTAAATCCTACTTAATTCTCTCTAAAAATTCCATCTAACTGGTGTGTAAAGTACCCACCACATTAAATGCATAATGTTCAGAAACCCCTGATAGGTCTATCTAACCTAGAAAACAATGCCTTCCCTTAAAAAGAGAGTCTTAAAAAATTGTCAGGTTTTAAATAAATGAGACCAGAAATCACAGTACAAGACAGATAAATCTACTTTAATATTCACATGTAAAAGTTACACATCACAAGAGATTGGACAGTAGCTTAGCAGTAACTAACATAGCTATAGTGAAAATCATTTTTATAAAAAAATAATCTAGATGCAGTCATCAGAATTTTTGGTCTACTTAAGTTAATGTTTGAAGATCGACTTTTATCCCTGCTTGAAGGATTTGCCATTACGCCTTTTTATCTTTTTTCTCCCACTGTTGCCTATTAATATTCTTTGGAGGAAGGAAGGCAGAAAGTGTTCATTTCCAAGAGTTTGTCCTTTGGTTGCAAGCAGAGAACATTTTTCATTTCAATGATTTAAATAATCTGTACAGACATGAAACATCGTGACATTAAGCGTTAGTGTAAAATGAAGAGTGATAAGCATTTTTTTGTTTTCACTTTGAAGACAGATTTCGTAAACTCCAAGCATTTCCCCATCCTATATTTAAAACCACCCAGAATCCATTTTGACCTCAGTTAAAAAACACAAACACATACTTTTATATTTTTACACTATAAAACCCTGTATTTAAAAAAAACACCTGATAATGTATATTTTCAACACGTATGCTTCAAATACAAAGACTTCAATCTAGGTGAAAGAAAACACATTGGAATGGACTCAGAACGAGTTTATTTTGTGATTAAACATCTCATGCAGTCATGCAAGACCTCAATCTATAACTGTTATTTCCGAATCTACCATACGGGGCAAAACAAAAACAAATTAAAAGCCAGGCCAAACCAAAAAAAAAAAAAAAAAAAAAGACATTCAAAATATCAAGAGCTCTGCAACTGAGCTGAAAAATAATTTTCCAAAAGAAATATTCCCATAGGTTTAAAAAAAAACACACAACATAATATTTACAAAAAATATTTAATTAAAAATATCTTATAATTACAGTAGTCTATTAAAGCATATACTTTCTCACACTCATAGAACATCTCTATATATACATGGTATGAAATGTCACTCAGTTATCTATACAATATGTAACATTCTTGCAGAGAAAAGAAAGTTCCCTGCCCGTTATAATCATCTATTTTAAACAATAGATGTAAAAAAAATTATCTACAATGCTCTGGTATATTAGTAAAGCTTCAAAACAAAAACTGAGCTCCTTGGTCACAAAGTAGGCTTCTAAAGTCGGATTTACTCGTATCTTCTATTTTATCAGTCCTGTCGCACTTAAAAGTTTAACTGCACCTCCAAAACACACAGAAATGTACAATTCACAGCGGTTATAAATGAAGAGACGAAAGAGAATACCTATGCAGAATGTTTATGAACGTGCAAAAAAAAAATAAAATAAAAAGGATGAGAGTTTTAATTGTTCCTCCCTCGCCCTCTCTCTTGGAATGACGAATGAAAGCGTTTTCTAGACTGGCTGAGGTGTTCTTCCCTCGGCGGCTTTTCCACCAACTTCTGCTCTTCCCCCTCCCTGGGCAGGCGCCTGGCTCGGGCGCAGGCGGCCGCACACCTGTGGAAGAGGAATGAATAGAGGGGGTGTGTGAACCTTCCCGCTGCAGACTGCCTGGCGCCGCCGACCAAACTCAAGACATGCTTGATCAACAACCCCAAACAAACCAGCGGGTCGGACAACACCCGCAGCTGCGGCCGCCCGCGCCCCGCCGCCAGCCCCCTGTGGCCGTCAGCCTGCGCGCGCGGGACCTCGGGGCGCTGTCCACGCCCACGAGGGTGGCCCGGCTGCGGGCGCAGGGCTGACGTGAGGAGCCCGCCGGCCGCGTCTGCACGGACAGGGACAGCTCCCCAGCTACACGCACACACCCCGAGGAGAAGTGGCGGGTGCACTCGCTAGCTGGGTGGCGGGAACAGAGGGGGCCCGCTTCCCCTCAGACCAAGGAGCCCCCAGGGCCGGGCGTCTCCGGCCACCGGCCACTCGGGACGGACAAGGCGCGCTCACCTGCACAGAGCGGCTCAGCGGCACAGAATGCTGTCGCCCTGCTTGTTCACCGCGCCGGCCTGCAACGGCAACACGCAACACCAAGGCAAAGGTTAGCCGGCGCCAGCCGCGAGCCCGCACGGTCCGGGCTGCGTCCCCCGCGGCCAGCCTGGCGCGCGCAGCCAAGTCTGCAGCCCCGGGGAGCCCTCCCCGAGCCGGCTGTGCACTTGACAGCCCGCGATGCGCTCCGCGCGGGTCCCGAGCTCGCCGAGCCCCGCCTGTGGCTGGTGGCCCGAGAGCCCGAAGGGAGGGGGCTGTCATTCTCGCGGACCCCCCACCCCACCCCACCGCGAGGAGCGGGGAGCCCCCCGCGTCCCGCCGCCGCCCTCCCGGCCCCCTCACCGGGTCCGTGTTGAGCGCCGTGAGCGGGGTCCGCGGCGGCGCGGCCGGACAGGTTCCGGCCGGGTGGAGCGGTGGCGCGGGCGGCGGCGGCGGCGGCGGCGGCTGCCTCAGCAGAGCCGGGTGCGTCTCCAGCGCCAGCTGCAGGTCCAGGATGTAGTCGATAACGTGCTGCAGGATCTCCACTTTGCTGACTTTCTTGTTGGGCGGGATGGTGGGCACGAGCCTCCGCAGCCGGCTGTAGCAGTCGTTCATATCGCACTGCAGGCACAGCGCCGGCTCGTCGGCCGCCGCCTCAGCCGCCTTGCAGCGCGCCGCGGCCGCCGCCGCCGCCGCGGCCGCCGAGCCGCCCAGGCTGTGGCCGTGCTCGGCCAGGCAGCGCAGCGCCAGCTCCCCGCCGCCGCAGCCCGACGGCGCCTTGCGGCCCGAGGGGCGCACGGGGCTCACCGCCTTCATCGCGCGCGCCCTGCGCCCCGCGCCTTCCGCAGGCGGACCCGCTGAGGTGAGGAGAGGCGCGCAGGCAGGTTCCGGGCCCGCCTTGCCTCGGCTCCCGGTGCGCTCGGGCACCCGCGGCGCGCCCGGCGCTCCAACAATTGACGGGGAGGGTCGCTCCGGGGGATCTCTGCTCAGTGGGCAACCCTCGGCCCAAAGCGAAAGGCAAGAAAAATCAAAAGCAGCGGAAGAAAGTGCCCTGGTCACTCCCCTCCGAGCTCCCGCTAAGCCAGTGCTGGGGGTCTGGGGTGGGGTGGGGGGGTCTCCGCCGCCCCACTCCCGGAGCCGACTCCCGGAGCCGACCGCCGGCCGCGCCTCCTGCACTACGCTCCGGCCCAGCCCGCCGCGCAGCTGTCTTTATAGCGCCGCGCGCCCGGGGGCGGGCCCAGCGCGCCGGCCTGGGCGCAGCGCGAGCCGAGCGGAGCCGAGCCGGGCTGGCGCGCGGGCGGGGACTCGGGCGGTGCTGGGAGGCGGGGAGGGGGCCCCCCCGGGGGGGGGGCGGGGGGGCCCGGGAGGGGGCCCCCCCATTCAGGGGGGCAGGGCCCCCCTCCGGGGAAGGGACCCCTCCGGCCCAATGGGAAAGGGCCCCTCCTTTGCCGTCCACCCTTGTGGGGTCCGGGGCCCCGGAGGGAAAACCGCTTTGATTGGGGCTTCGGGGCCCGGCCTTGGGGGGGGCCCTCCTCCAAGGCGCGGGGGGGGGAGAGAGCGAAGTTCCTGCGAAGAACTGCGGGAATGTGTGGCTGGAATTCGCTCCGCGCCGGCCTCGGCCGCCGGGGGAGCGCGGGGACACCCGGACACCCCCAGTAGCGCTGCTCGCGGGGACCCTGCGCCGGCCGCCGCTGGGTCCCCGGCCTGTCAGTACCTTGAGAAAGACCCGCGTTCGTTCTCTTCGGTATTTCACCCCCTATTGCATGGTTCGCCTTTTCACAATTGCAGAAACCACAAGGATGGGATGGAAATGTGTAGCCTTCTTGTATTCTTAAAAAAAAAAAAAAAAATGCTAAAGCTTAGCGAAGGAAAAAGGAAAGGCGTGCCGAATCGAATGCAAGTTTTTCGTAAAGGGATCTTTAAATACGACCCAAACGTGGTGAGATTCTTTTTTCTTTTCCTCATCAAGATGCAAAAGTGAGCTAAAGAAAAGAGGTTGCCTTGCACAGGAAAGTAGAGCACGTAGAGATTAAAAATGCATGGACACGGAGTATTTAAAATTCCACTATGACATATACTATTAATCCGTTTTATGTAAAATTCATACCTGGGCCTTCATTTAGGCCATTAACGCACCGCGTCACGTATTAGCGCACCCCGCTTTAAATAAGGTGATAAGAACCCTCGGTCTTCTCCTGGGCAACAAAGCATTAAATTTCACACTTCCTGTGTCTGAGATCCTGCGTGGGCCCCACCCTGCAGAAAGGCGTTTTTAATTAAAGGCGATTTTTGTATTGGATTTCTGATAGAAAAGCTGTCCTTCGAGGATTCAAAATAAAACTGACAGTGAACTCTGGTGGGGGTATTGTGTGGACACTTCAGGGAGAAACTGAGCCCTTCAGGTGAGACATGAGCTTAGAAACTCCTAGGCAGTGGGGAACTGAATTTTGAGTGCTTCCAACCTGCAATTATTCCCACCCCAGACGTCGCTTCTAGGTGAATTAACACAAGAATTTTCTTCCTTGACGTGGACTGGTGCCTCAGCCTCAGATAACTGAGAGGAAGAGACACGGACCTCATTTCTTCCTACTGCCTTCCAGTGTGGACTTCATTTTCTCCCTGTCTCCACCCTTCCCAGAACTGAAATACCCGCACCAGGCAGGTATCTTGTGAGGCCACGTGGGCACTTCATGACTGTTCCACTGAGCACTTTCCTTTTTCCTGATGAAATGGGGAGCTGGTTTCTCAGGCAGATGCAACAGTCCTCCTTTCCCCAGTCCTTAGACATGACTGCCTCTAACAATTATTTGGAAAGAAGCGACATTCTCATCTACTTAATGTGCGTCCATAGAGGGTCTCCATACACATGATCAAGAAAATCAGAATTATAAAACCCAAGGGAAAGCCTTGCTTTTAAAGGCAGGCATAACTGCATATGTTTTTAATAAAAACACACAGAATATCATGATGGTTAGACGGAAGTTGGAAGAGGAAGTGCTAGTGAGTGTAAACTATTATTTTGGAACCAGTCAGGTCAGAACAGGTGATAAATGTACAGATGTGTTGTTCTGTCAGATTTTCACTTCACTAGAGTTTAAACATTCCTAACAAATTTTAAAAATAAAAAAAAAATTTTTTAAATCCAAGATTTTTATCTTCCTGGTAAAATCTTACTAATCTAATAAGCCCAGGGCATACTGGCATTTCAAAACTCTCTGTATCTTAACTTGATTAACATTAAATTTAAGTTTTATGTATGTGCCACAAAGAAACCATCATAGCTGTCTTTCTGGACTTTGCTAAATCACAGAGCGCACACACCCTAGGTGTGGCCATTGCCAAGGGCCAAAGTTTCAGGTTTTATTGGAGATACTCCTTGTGACTGGCTTAGAGTTAAGCTGAGTTACTGTAGGGATGTGGGGGATGTGCAAAGGAATGTACTTTGGTCAGGTGAGCAAGAACACCCCAAAAATGTGATCCCCAACTCTTGCCGGCAGAATACGTAGAGACACTGTATGTATGAATGTGAAGGTTGGAAAATACAAAGATACCAAAAAAAAAAATAATTAATGTGCTACATGAAACATTATACAATGGGAACAGAGGAGAGGGTCCTGTTCTTTCTGGACATGAAATAGGGGTCCCAGGGACTGTGAAAGGTATGTTTCTGTGTACTTAAGCATAGACACTTCCTTGACGTCAAAGCTGAAGTCAGAAAAGAGTGCTTGTACTGACAGCACTGGGTTTACTTAGCTGTCATCAGATTGTGGGTAAACCTTCCAAGCTACGTTATTTCTACTGTGCCCAGAAGGAAATTTAGGTTTCCTATGACTCTTTTTCACTGTGCTTCACTTGCACTTGGAAAAATACATTGGACAAACCCGAAGCTCATGGCGATCAAAGTGCTAGACACTCTCAAAATTTTCTCAATGGGAACTTGGGGTAGAACATTCATAGAGGAATTGCTAGGAAACCTTGGTGACCAGAGTTCTGTGTATGCCCCTCCTCCATACAAAGTGATCTGTAGCCTCCCTCAGGATGCATTCTGGATGCAAATCAGACCCATGCTAAATTGCAATACCCAGGCTCTTAGAATTCACAGTCACCCTGTGTTTACACGAAGCAAGGGTATCCAAGCGTATTGTGCTATTCAACCCAGTGCCTTTTTAGGACTTGAGATTTCTTTCTCCATGGTCTGCCAGGAAGCTGCGTGGGCTCGGACTCACAGAGAAAACATCAGTGTTCCCATGCCTTGGTCGCTCTGTAGATGTACGTGGTCACTGAAGGAGGCACATGCATTCTTCCAAGGTGTTAAGAAATCACTATGTACTCTGCAGCAGGAATGTCCCTTGCTCCAACAGCAAATTGGGCATGTGGCAATTCAAGCTCAAGGCTGCGTTATCAGGCACTAAGCGTAACAAACTTACTTGTGCTACCCTTGGATTGCTGATACCAGTCCCGGAAACAATGATAACCTTTTGGTTTGCTTGGACTTGGAAAATGTTTGTCGGAAGAGGACATTATATACTGAACATGGCTGGGCAGAGGTGACTGTCAAAAAGGCCTTTTCAGGGGTTTTAAAAGAGAGTCTGTTTAAATAAGAAGTAGCTGGCTTTTAAGAAGCATCCCTCAGGTCTAACAGAAAATGGGAAGAAAGAAGTGGCATTTGTTCTTACTTTAGGAGGTAGGAAGAGGGTGATCTGTGAAGTAAGACAGTGGGGACTCCAATTTTGTCTTCTTTGTTTGCTACTTCTTTTGGTCATTAAACTTAAATTCTTGTACCTTCCTTTATGAAATGAGGATAAAAATTATGTCTATTTTATAAGGTGTTTGTGAGATTGACACATAAGTACAGTTAAGTGTCATACAGATGTGGCTGTATTCAGGGAAATCCCCATTCAGGGATTTGGTGGTTGTGGGACATCGCAGTGCGCACGTAAGCAAGCCTAGATGGTGTAGGTCAGTCACTCAGCATAGTCACCCTTGATTGTTAATCACCACATGTATGAGGCTGGTGCCTGGGTATCACAGCACAGCATTTTACGTTAAAGTTTTTGACTTATAAGTTGAAAGAGAAGATTCTAAAATAACGATGAAAATTGTAGTACAGTAAATATGTAAACCAGCAGTATCGCCATTCATGATCATTATGAACTAGTTATGTACTGTATGGAACTGCAGGTGCTATACTTTCTATTTTTATACAATGGCAGTACAATAGGTGTATTTATACCAACACCACACAGACACGAAAGTTATGCATTGTGTTAAGACTTTATGATGTCACTAGGTGACAGCAATTTTTCAGCTTCATTGTCATCTTATAGGATCAGTGTTGTTTATGTGATCCATTGATGACCAAAACATCATTATGAGGTGCCTCATTGTATGCATAAATGATTTGAGCTGTATGAGGGTACTTCAAAAAGTTCATGGAAAATGGAGTTAAACAATAATGTATATTTCCCATGAACTTTTTGGAGACCATTGGTATGTAAAAAATTGTAACAAGTTCTTAGAATAGCGTCTGACACATATTGGGCAAATGAGGTTGAAATTTATTATAATTTTAGCAGATGTTATCTCCCAGTCTGTGGTTTGTTGTTTTCATCTGCTTAATCATTTTTGAGAGCAGAAGTTTTTTATTTTGATGATGTCCAGTTTATCAATTTGTGCTTTTATGAGTTATCCTTTTGGCATTGGATATAAGAAAACTTTCATAATGCCAGGTAACAACAGCCTTCTCCCTGAAGGTTTTATAATTTTTAGGCAGGGCTGGTTTCATGGCATGCAAGCTGTGCAGTTACGTTGAGTGCTGTACTGAGAAGAGCCCCGCACTTGGTTTAATACTCTGCTGTTGTCTTTTTTTTTTTTTTTTTTTTTTGACAGGCAGAGTGGACAGTGAGAGAGAGAGACAGAGAGAAAGGTCTTCCTTTTGCCGTTGGTTCACCCTCCAATGGCCGCCGCGGCCAGTGCGCTGTGGCCGGTGCACCGCGCTGATCCGAAGGCAGGAACCAGGTGCTTCCACTGGTCTCCCATGCGGGTGCAGGGCCCAAGGATTTGGGCCATCCTCCACTGCACTCCCGGGCCACAGCAGAGAGCTGGACCGGAAGAGGGACAACTGGGACAGGATCCGGCACCCCGACGGGGGACTAGAACCCGGCGTGCCAGCGCCATAGGCGGTGGATTAGCCTGTT